CACATGATGACATTTACACTTCCTTCACTTCTTTACTCCAATTTCCAATGGAATTGGAGGACCTGTTTGGGATGAGTTGATTTTGGTTTTGAGGTTGTTGGCAATGATGATTTAAGAAAGCAAGCATGATCGCTGGAAGGTCTTCCCACACACAATACAGTTAGTAAGTAGTTTACGTACGATATAAAGGAACACAAGTGCATGATGATGGATGGATGGATGGGAAAGATATAAAGGAGCAGAGAGCATTTGTTGTCGTTTTTTGACGTTTTATTTTACGTCCCATATGGAGATGACGGATTCATATTTTTCCTTGGTTTATCTGGTTTTCCTCTTTTTTTTTCATCTTATGTATTGCACGCCTGGCGAAAGGGAGTTTGGTTTATCTTTGCTTTTTACATTTGTTAAATAGGAGAAACCGATGATGCGTGATCTCTCCAATACAGAGATGAAAAATTTCCTCTCATTTTTGTCTGATACATGTTTGTGTCTGATCTATTGATGAGTGCCAGGAAGCGTTCCCAGTGTAAGGAAGCCAAACACAACAATAACGCCAGCCCCTTCTTCAAACACAGAAGCACACACTCATAACTAGCTCCAACGGTGTGACATGACATGACTGGTAATAACGCTCAATTACCAATGCATTGTTCTGGACGGTCAACTTGTGTGTGTGGACAACTTCTAAATTTACAAACACACATACATAAACAAACAGCTTTGCGGTAATCTAAGCCAGTACAGAACCGGGTCGTCAAGACCCGGTTATCAAAACAAAAGCAGCAAATGCACAGTACATCACCACCATGTCTGTCTCTTTTGAAAGATCTCTCTGATGAGATTTAGAACTTGGATTTAAGTCCACATTGTCCCCCCCCTTTCTTTCCCCCCCTTGAACTACCTCTGTTTACCTCCTCCCTAGCTCAACTCAGCTCTCAACAGGTTAGCTAGTTAAAACCAATGACAATGTAATCCCACCCCAGACCAAGGACGCCGTGCCGTCGCAAATGCAAAACATATGCTTATATATATATATAAATGACCAAGCCAGCCCAGCCGATGCGTTTTCGTACCTCATACCCAAAACAAAGTGAAAACCACAGATACAAAAGAAAACTGCCCTCGCCCATCCCACACCTCTTTTCCCCCGTCTATAGTATAGCAAACATCCCGACCCCCAACGCAGTCAACATGACCACCACTCCCCCAACCCCATGTGCACCCCCCCCCCTCCCCGCTACTGCTGCTGCTGCTCCAGACTTTGCTATCCCCAATCCACTGCTGCTCGCCGCACTTCCCCCCGCGATGCCCGCCGTCGCCGACACGGCATTCGTGACTACCGTAGCATCCGGGACGGCGTTCGCGCCGGTCCCAATCTCCAAGACGTTACTCGCCGTGCTATTGAACCTGGTCTGCGCGAGGCTGATCTGGTTGTTATCGAGGTCATAAACCAGGTACGCACTCCTTATAAAGGTATCCCCCAAAACATTCGTGCCCGACCCCGCAGGCGCGATCCCAAAGAGGCAGGCGGCCACGCCGTTCTGGAACGTCGGCCGCTTCCCGCTCGCCGTGACCAGATCCAGCACGAGCTCGTCCATCTGCACGTTTATCTCCGGCTCGCTGAACGTAAACGTCAGGTTCGTCGCGTTGTTGGCCAGGGAGCAGGGTACATAGGCGGCTCCCTCCTCGGAGTCGTACTGCGCGCCGACCGCGTTGTAGATATCCTGCACCAGGGCGTCCGGCAGGTACGTCAGACTGGAACCGCTATCCAGCAACACTGCTAGTGCAAGGTTGTCGGCGATCGTCGTAGCGCCCATTTGCAGTTTCGTCAGGGTGATGAGGAACTCGGCAAACGTCCCGGACTCGCTCTGTATCGGGACCGTCTGCAGGCTGCCCGTGTACTGCTCCGTGTCGACCCCGCCAAACAGTATGCTGCCGGTGTTGCTGTCCAGGTCGTTCAGCCACAGGCTGTACGCCTTGGACTGGATCAGGCCGTCGGCGACCATCTGCGCGGGCAGGTTGTCGTAGGCCGCCTTCCCTGCCCTGCCGACCTGGACCTCGTTTATCGGGTACCCGATCCCCAGGATGCCCTGCGCCGAGGACGAGGTGTAGCCGATGCCGAACTGCAGCTTGTCCAGCTTCGTCGCGCCGATCGTGATCGTGTCAGACACGTAATCCCCACTCGCCCCGGAGCCGTCGACGTAGGAGATGTTAAAGTAGCTGCCGATATACGAGTACGTCGAGCTCGAGTTGGCCGAGTATGTGCCTGCGAACTTGCACGGCGCCGACTTTTGCAGACACAGCTTCGAGCTGGGCGTGTTGACCCATAGATCGGAACTCCCCGTGTCCAGATGTAACCGGAACGACTGTGCTGGTGTGCCGAGGGTGGCGTTGACAAAGTATAATGTTTCCTACACACAACAACAACAACATGTTAGTTACTCACACTCATAGCCCCAGAAGTTTTAGTTCGTACCTCATTATCCAAGCTCGCAGTGACGGACCCTCTCCTCCTCAACTTATCCCGACTCAACGGATTCGCAATGGGCTGTCGTTTGGTCTCCAAGCCTACTACCCTCGGCGAGCTCCCATCCCGTCTTTGTTGTTGTTGCTGCTGTTGTAATGCCAAACCCTCTGTTGATGATGGGAGTAAGGAGGCCGCTAGGGCCAAGAGTGTACTTGATTTCATGGTCGTAATGCTTTGTCCGACCTCTTACAAAACGAAGTCCCACCAGATGAATAAATGCTATAACATGGGGTGAAGAAGCGAAAGTCTGGTATATATCAAAGCAAAGCCGTCAAGGCAGGGCCACACAATCTGATTATGTTCCGTCCAGTGGCGGGTGAGGCGGAGAATGTGGGCTGTGAACGAAAAGCGAACGTGTGAGGCCGAGAGGATTCGTAAGTGTCGACTTAGACCAGAATCCAATGACCAAAATTAGGGCCCGAAGTATGTCTAAGCTCCGGGGTGGCGAACCAGGACAATGATAGTGAAATTGGACAGGAAAATAATTATGGTTCAACCAACTTTCAGGAGACAACAAGACGGAGATCAAGAGATCAAGAGAGTGGGCCAGCCTTCGGATGCGGTGCCGAGGGGGTCTACCTTCAAGCGGGGACGCAAGTCAACAGGGGACTCCGGCGTGCGTATGGTGAGAGAGCCGCGCTTTTCGCCAAGGGGGATGCCGGCAGCCGCCAAGTTCTTGGAAGTCTCACACTACGTCTTTGGTGATGACAAAGGCTCGAGATGGATGTGTATGTAGCTTGAGAGATGCGAGGTGAACATGGCATTGATGTACGGGACGCTTGGCGTCTAATGTCTGGGGGTGGTTCGTGTGTTTAAAGAAGATACACATTGACGATCGGGTGCAAAGATTCGAAACATCTTACCATCGATACCCCATGTCGGCACCGTTACAGCAGCAGTTTTCGAAGTGGGAGTGAGTTTGGGTACATCCATGAGTGTGGCAATGGACAACCAACAGCCCCGCCCGCATCTTGCTCGCGACAATGCGCTGTGAGTGCGTGGATGGCAGGCTAGAGACAAAAAGAGAACGGGTGTTGCGTATACACTTGCAGAGCCGCCGGACATTTTCACTGGAAAGCCAGGGACCTGATCTGAGATAGGTCAAGCGTTTGCCTACCTGCGTCCGGAGATGGAAGCGCTGTGCGGCTGGGATGGTGGCAGTTATTCGGCAAGTGGGCATGACGCGCGGCCTATATGCGTGCGTTGCCTTTTGGAGACGACACCCTTTACGCAACCCTCCCCTCGGGACTGCTCCACTTTCGCAAGAAGCCTTCCATTGTGGCCCTAAGCAGCGCCCGGTGGACTCTAAATGCCAGATAATCTTCCGATAAGTCTTGAATCATAAATGTAAGATTTCTCTCCACCGTGTCCCTCGAAGAAGCATTTTGCGCTGTGGTGCCATTTGTTGGTGCAGCTGTGGCAAAGAGAGGAGCTCGAGGAGGCTGTCGGAGATGTTGAGATGAAATGTGAAACGTTCGAGGCTGCCAAGCCTCACGGCAATCAACGACCATTTTTTACCGGACATCTGACACAGTTTCGCGGACATCAGACACCGACTGCAACTGGCGCTTGGCGTTGGTGGAGTCCGGGGGAGCATCGTCATTGGCTGCCTGCCGACAACGACTTTCATGGCGACTTGTCTTCTCTCTCAGGCACGCCGAGTTAATAAGGAGCTGAAATGATGCGGTAATGCTATTCTTGGCTTTTCGGGTTGGCAAGCAGATAAGCTTGGTGTAGTCCAGCAGCTTGAAAGCTTAAAGACGTCAATGTCAGTCTCTGGAGCTCCACAGGGTGGAGGCTAGAGAAAATTAGCTTTTCTGATCAGTGATGGATATCGTTCAGCCCCGACATCTTTCAGCCGTTCATAAGCACAACGGCCGTCCTGCGGCAGTCCGAGCACAGTTGACGTACATACATATTACCTTGACAACTCACTTTATGCACAAATGCTCTGGCGTATTGAGCTTCCTGTAGTTCCCATACATACTCGGTGCGTCTCCTTCAATCCAGACGACACGTGCCAGCGGGAGCAACAGATATTGGCTTCGGCTCCGACTCCAAACGGGCCCGGCCCCAGTACCCGGGTCATCCGCACCGGAGGCGATCCCCGCAGCTGTGGAGTCCGATCCATTTGGACACGACTGTGAGAGAAGAATTGATAGTATCCTCTGGCTGAGCGATTAAATTTGTGGTTGACTGTACCAAAGGCAGTTCCGCCAAATGTCCGGATTAACATGTACACTTCACACCGGCCATTCGCACCTTCCCACATTCCACGACAGACGTCATGACTGCCCCCTGGATGCGTGCAAGAATCTCACGACGACACTGAGATAATAAGACCTGAAGGCCCGGCCCGAACGGTCCAAAAAAAAAAAAAAAGGTATCAAGGAAACACATCTCCGTGTAGTATCCAATATTCGATTGCATGGAGCACACAGGACGTGACGTGAATTTCCATCGCACCATCCATCTCCTCCGGGAAGGCTCGAACTTCCAACCGCCTGATTAATTAACAGTCAGACGCGCTAGCCGATTGCGCCACAGAGGATGAAAAGAAGACGGCATAATAGGAGGATACCACACCGATCTCTACCAGCCCAGTCATCATCAGCATTCACAAGTTATTTCGAGGCTGTGCGACTGTTAGGATTCCGTGTGATCTATATATCTATCTCGCTGTGCTACATATCTTCCATGACTCAGGTTGTTAATTACAACTAGTTTTTGTTTCTCAGTCCGATAATACCAGTATAGCAAGGTTAAGTAAGGTGTCCAGGTTAGAATGTACACTCCGTAACGTTCAACTTTGACCTCGTAAGCATCAGGATGGACACAATGACCCCGTACAGTCCCAGGACTTCAGCAAAGATGAGAATCAGGACCATGCCGATGTACAGCCGTGGTTGCTGCGTACTCGCCCGCACTAATAACCCCCGTTGTCATCATTAGTACCTCCCCTTGTTTTCGGGTATATGTATATGCATGTGATCGAAAAGGGGACAGATGTGAGGGGGGACTTACCACCAGCATCGCCAACAATCCCGATCGCGAAACCAGCCGCCAGACCGCACAACCCGACGGACATACCGGCGCCGAGCTGCAGAAAACCAGTGTGCAGAGCCATCTTCTCAACCAGATCGCCGGATATAATGACGCTCACGACCAGCCCGTAGATGGAGAGGATTTGGGCCATTATCGCGCATAACCTACGCATGTCAGCAATGAAAGCAGATCGGGTACTGGGATGTGTTTGAGTGGTAAGGAGAGTGTGTGAGAGGGTGGGCATGAGAAAGGAATATGAAAGAATGCGGAGGAAACACGGGAACAAGAGAAGAAGGGGCAGTTATGGAGGTAAGGACAGAAGGGGATTCTGGGATAAGGGAGAGAATGTGGGAAAAGGAGAAGTAACGGGGAAATGTAGGGAAGAAAAGGGGGAGAGGGGGAGGAGTACAAGTAGGCGGGGATGCTCTGACGGGGTTGGGGAGGAAGAGAAAGAGCCAATAGTAAACAGGGTGAGGTAATTAAGGGAATGGAAAGCAAAGATAACGGCAAGTGTGTGTATAGAGGGAGACAGGGATGAGAAAGGGCATGAGACGGGGATGGTGGAAAGAAGAAAGGGATTAGGATTAGGGTGTCTGTGTAGATTCGGACGTGAGAAGAGAGAGGATAGTATACGCACGTATTCTGCATCAGCCGATCCGGACGAATGATTCCAGACGAGAAGATGGCCCCGGCCGACTTGGCCGTCCCGTAGGACGCCCCGATCACGGTGAAGATGATGGCTGCTGCGCATCCTAGTGCTCCGAAGAAGGACTGCTCCATCGTCAGTATCTTTAGATTCACGCCTCCAAAGCTTATTAACCGAAGACAGTCTAGGACATATATGATAGGAGCATGGAGAAACAGTTATTGGGTAAGGGTGATGAGAGAAAAAGGAGGCTAGTGACGGGGCGAGGGTGACAAGATACGTACAGCATAGACTGGACTATTGTAATCAAGAAAGCGTCAGTAGAAGACATCAGATAGCAAAACAAAAGGGAACACAAAAGAAGACTTACCACCGGTCCATGTTCACAATATCCCAGTCCATTCTGTCTCTATTCTTTTTTTTAAACAAATAATTGCGTCCAATGTGTCAAGAGTGTATCTGAATGAGAGATGAATGAGAGCGCGAGCTGCAGCGTTGATGTGTTTCCAGAAGAGACAAGTTCAGCACCGCCGTAGAGTAACAGAAGTTTACCGGCTGGCACGAACAAAGACCGATGAAACTGCAGTCGGGCAGTTATTATACCGTCCCTCCATTACCGCCCTTTACATCTCCCAAGCCTTTTAACTCCGGCGGCTGACGACAGTACGTACTCCCAGATTGGTGGCACGTAGGCTGCCAAGTTAGGCAGTCAGATAACCACCATCTCTGATTGGCTCATTTGTACGACCACTTACATACACACTGCTGGCGTGGCCTCAGCCTTAACCTAACGCTGACGACTTTTAAAAATGGCACATACCTGATGAAAGAACTGAACGCGGGGAGAAATAAGGCAATAAATACGAGGAAGAACAAATTAGAGGTTGAGCCGACGGCGTGGCCTTGATTTAAGTGTTTGCAACCAGCAAACAGTAAAAAAAAAACGTGCGCCATGCTAGGCCACCTACGTAGCGGTATGACCTCAAAAAAAGTATACGTAGGTATATAGTAAAATTGCTCCCTCGCATGAGTCTAACTGTAGCGTTCGAATAATGGGTATGGGTATCGAATTCCCTGATCACCTCTCACCGTGTGTGCATCCCGCCCCGGCTACCTGTACTATATCCGTAGATCCTACAGTACAGTTCATCTGTGAGCTCCAGGAGGTGTCATAGCGACCACTCAGTCCGATCCTCCCCATCCTTAACAAACGGCTCGTCGATGCGTTTAATCGCGTAGTCACTGCAGAGTATACTGCTCCAACTTATTAGCTTTTGTTCCCCCTTTTTCTTTTCTGTTGAACTTACCATGCTGATGCCACCAGGCTATCAAGTTCCGCAATCATAGCCTCCCTCTTGGTGCCGCTCACCAACCCTTTACTAATCTGGATCTGACACTCCTTGATTCTCCTGCTCTTCGCCGGGCCGGCTTGTTCCAGTACCTTTCGTCCCAGACAATCCGAATGGAACGCGTGCTGGCACGGAAAGACAAAGAACTGCCTGGATAGTAATGGCAGGCCGCACACAAAGCACTTCTCCCCTGGTTCCACAATGGCGTATCGCTGGTCCAGCCTGGAAATGTCAATCCGAATATTAGCAGCTGTTTGCGAGCTCTCGTCCATCTCCCTTCGCAAGCTGTCAATGTTCTTGCTGTACTCCTCCAGCGCTGCGCAAATCTCCTCTTTAAAGTCGTCAATCACCACGAAATCCGGAAAAAAGGGAATGAGATCCTCGATCCGCAGCAAATCACACCTCTTCAAAAACTCGATGGCCGTCTTGATACCACTCTTATCCCCCCCAACTACAACCCCATTCACACCCGTCCCATTCGCACCATTTTCCTTGGGTATGTGTCCAGATCCGATAACCTTCTTGGCAATCGCTAGCCACAGCTTCTTCCTCAGCTGCGCGTTACCCGACTGAATCGGCCTATCCGCAATGATACTCGCCAGTTCGATCTCATCGTGAGACAGCGCCAGGTCCACAGCCTGCACGTACTGCCCCATGCTGGTATATATATGCGCACATGACAGCACCCGGTGGTTTTGGATGCACAACCGTAAAGCAAAATCGGGGTCAAACTTGGGTTCGTCCCCCTGACTCTCCAGGTACGACAGCAGTGCGGACTCGTCTCTGCTCGGATGGGATGCATAGATCGATACCAAAGTATTATGCACTGCCGAATCAGTCGATCCGAGCTGGTTGACGACATATAAAAGATATCGTATAGCCTGGTTCTGACTTAACGGTCCCGTATAATTCCTGTCGTATTCCAGCAACGCGGGTATAAGGTTCCTCGGCTTCAGGTTGGTAGACTGCCGCATGAGTATGTCTACCAACTCCCCCGCGGCGTGCGTCATCAAAACACTGCTGTACCGGTAGAAAACCTCTGCGTCCTTCTGCCGTTTCAACACCGTCAGGGCCTCCGACCATCTTTCTCGCTGGACCCAGTACGACAGCACAAAATTGTGGTCGTTGATCGCGTTGGCATAGTACAGCAGCTCCTCCTCCCGTCCGTGGCTGCTGATCACATCGTAGACTGTCTTCCTGTCCAGATCCGACTTGTGTTTATTGACAAAGTCATGATACTCATTCCGTACCGCATCGAGCTGCTCTTTCGTCTGGGTTGGGTCCAAGGCGTCCGACAACTCAGCCTTGGTGATAATCGTATCGTCCAGAGAGTTGAGCTTGGCCATGAAAATCTCCACCAACCACGTCGCAATCATGATGCGCTGCATGACGGCCGCCTTTTTATAGGTACTAAGCTTCGCCAGCAGGTATTTTCTGAGGGCGTCCGGCTGGTTGTTGTCGATAAACGACAGCGCCACCTCCTCAAACGGCTTGCTGCTCTTGCCATAAACCGTGGCAGCCTCACTGTACAGGCCCTTGCTTGTCAAATAATCCCCGGATGCAGTGGCAACAGCGTCTCTCTGCGCCGGCGTGTGGGCATATTGCAGCGCGGCGTCAAACTGCTGCATCTGCAGCATAATCTTCCAGATATCCCTGTCCTCGTCCCGCACGACGATCTCAAAGATCTCGGTTGACGTAAACAGCCAAAATGTGCTCTTCTGAATGTCCACACACAGACCAATCGCCTTTTGGCCCGGATCAAGTATGACTTGGTCATAGATGGTCGAGCCCGTCAAACGGTTGGCCGCGATTATCCGGCTACCAACTAAACTGACGACATGCCACTGCGTCAGGGCGAGGGCGTCGATGTAATCTGCACCCGCTGCCGGCTTTCTCCGGCCATTTGTAGCTTCTGAAGCATTCACAGCTAACTGTGACCTCGGCAGGAGCTTGGATTCGTTAAACACCTTGGTTCCCAGTTCAGGGCTCGCTGGGTTGGTGAGCAGTTTCCCGTGGAAAACGCCGTGCGAAGACAGCCATGCAAACGCGCGGTCCGGCAGCGTATCTTGCTGATGAGGTCTCCCTGCAGCGTTGTCCTGCGGATCAGGTGATACCACCAACGCAGACGCCGCAGTAGCCGCCGTCGAAGACCTCGTAAGCTCGTGAACAATAGGCTGCTCGGCCTCGAATAACTTGGTGTATACAGATGCGCTCCCGTCATGGTGGTGGCGGCCGATCTTGCCGACAAGATGGTACAGCCGGCTCTGTGTGCTGATCAGAATGCGGCGCATATCCGCCCTGCTCGGCCCCGAGCTCGGTACAATGTCAACCCATAGTCCTGTGATGGGTCCATCGGGCAGCTTCTGCAGTGTTTTTAGGTATTTATCCTCCTTGCGGTAGAACTCGGTCGACGTCTCGATGTAGCTCTCGTAGATGTTGCCGTCGGATGCTCCGATCAGAATCTCGCGCGTCGAGGCAGTGGGCAGGGACGGATTCCAGGCAATGCTCTCG